TAGCAGTTAGGAATTTGGCTTAGATGTACAATATGTGTAGCCACATGGGTCAATCTTATACATGCATTGCTGAGTGGAAAATGAAAGAAGTTGAATGAGATCTATAAGTACCATGTATTTAAATTAAAAATGCACGTACACAAAACAGATCACTTTGTAAGAACACATAGAAACAAAAAGTTAAACATTGAAGGCATTACAGTTGCCCATGGGAGGAGTGAGTGCGATATGGGGGGAAAAGGAAGAAATAAAATGGATAGATAGAAATAAGCTCGGGTCACTGTAAGATACAGGATTATCTTGGCGTAGAGCCTGAACGTGGAGGGGAGTTGTCCCAGGACAGGCAGCAGGCAAGATACTCAGCTTCACCGAATGTAGGAAAAGCTGGAACGTCTCCGAAGTCCCGTCTACAGCCTGCTACCCCCAGCTTCTGCATCACAGACACCCCTGTATCCCATCCTTGATTACTGTCACCTCCCAGTTCTTTGTGAGTCTGTTAATGTGACCAGCCTTTGTCTTGCATTGTGGGGAGCAGAGCAAAGCGCAAGGTAGGGCTCCATTTCTCCAGCACAGCTGGGTTCTTCCTGAGGCAGGGACATAATTGTATGAAACGATGGGACTAGTGTAAGAATGGCTAATATTTGCTGAGCACTCGTGCTAGATAACTATTTTAAGTTCTTTACATAAAAGTGAGTTTAATCCTCACACGACCCTGTGGGGTTGGTATGATTACTACCCCCTTTTACACACGAGATGGAAGAAGCCTGAAGAAGCAGCAGGCAGGGGTGGCTGGGAACCCAGGCTGTCTTGCTTCAGAGCCCACACACTTGACCATGGACCCTGTTGCTTCTGGTTGCCCACAGTTACGTACCTGGTGTCCGGGTTGGATTCTCAATCCTTGTTACTCAGTAACCTAACTGGTCTCCTGCCCCAGCAGCATTTGCATTCCCTAGGAGCTTGGTAGAAATGCAGACTCACACCCACTGAATGCGAATCTGCATTTTAACAAGGTCTCTAGGTCATTCTCTGCACACATAGGCACTGCCTTGAGTGGTACAAAAAATTGGCTTCTAGCCTGTTTCAACTGTCCTTCACTGAAAGCCTGCTTTACTAGATACTGAGAAGAAAACAGGAAATGGAACTGATGAACAGGGATGATCAAATTAGATTTAAATCTACATGCAGGGAAGAATTTAATGTCAAACATTAGTGACTGACTAATCTGTCCTATCTTTTAACTGTTCCTACAGGTAAGGTCCTAATTGTCACCCACCTGAGCTACTCAATAACCTAACTTGTCACCTACCCCTAGTCAAATCCTACTAGAGTTATTGTCCCAGAACACACATTGGACACGGGCTTTCCTCAAAATTTTGCGATGCACATGACTGGCTACTGACAAAGTGTGCTTTTTAGTGTAGAGCTCAAAGAGTTCCACCATCTAACCTACTCTTGAGTTTCTTTACTCCACTCTGTAAAATATCTAAGCTGCTGCCATCCCAAGCTTCCTGTTATTTGGTGCTTAAGCCATACTTTCCTACTTCCACATTTAGCTCATTCTTTCACTTCCCAGGAATGCCCTTCCTGTGAACCAAATACTGTTTATTTTTCACTGTTGAGTTCATAACCCCTTTCTGTGAAAGCTTCCCTCTTCCATTTGTTTTATTCAACAGATAACGTATTGAGCACCTATTATCCAGGCACTGTTTTAAACACCTGGGGATACATCAGTGTACACAACAAAGCTCTTTGCCCTAGTTGAGTTGATGTTCTGTCGAAATCCCTTTTCTTCCCATACTGCATATTTGCACAGCCCTTTCCTGGGCTGGCACAATGTTCCATTCTGCCTTAGAATTTGTTCACTCACAAATACGAGCGGCCTCTATGTGCAAAGTCTACAGAGAGATCTTGCTATTGTGCTTACAGTCTGTCAGGGAATCTAATGAAAGGCAGAAAGCTATATATACTAGGTGAGGCTGAAAGTCTAAGAACTCGGAGAACAATTATATTTAGTTGTGGGACATTGGGGAAGGCTTTATGGGAGGTGATTTTTTTTTTTAAGATTTTTATTGGGGAATTGGGGGATGGGAACAGCGCTGGGGAATTGGGGGAAGGGGAACAGGACAAGTTGCTGTCGTTTTGTTCTTCAGTCTAGTTGTGGAGGACGTTGCTTTACTGGCCCAAGCTGGCACCATCATTGCGCTCTTCCCAGGCAAGGCAGATTAGTCGCTGGCTTCTGGACGGCCGCTCACTGCAGCTGCTGGCCGCTCATGCTGGCTGCTGGCTACACACGGTAGCCCATGGCAACCCACTGCCACAGGGGCTGCAGCTCACGCCGTCGCCGGCGACTCACGGCAGCCCAGCTCCAGGTTGAGCTGTTGTTCAGCATCTTAGCTGCGGAGGGCAGTGTCACTGGTCCTCATATGTGGGATCCGAACCGGGACCCTCTGGCGTCCCAAGCCAGTTCTTAACCATCGCGCCACTTGGCCGGCCCGGGAGGTGATTTTTGAACTGGACCTTTAAGGATAGGAAGAGGACGTTCTAAATAGAGCGACGTGACCCAAATAGGAGACATTATGGGGCATGTACAAATAAATGCCAATTCATTTCATTTGGCTGGAGGGTGGGGTGTGAGAAGAGGAGTAGTGGGGAGCGCGGTTAGAAACAGGTTGGGGTCAGGCTAAGGAGTTTGGGTTTTATTGAGTTAGTAATGAGGAGCTGAGAGTTTTGAGCAAAAACTGATTCTAGCTGTGGTTTGGGAATATCAAGAGTTACATTATGCTTTTTTGTTTGTTTGTTTGTTTGGGGTGTGGCATATGTTACAAGGTTTTTTAGGGAGACCAAGAGCTAATGAGGACGTGACTGGGCACAGCTGCAGTGGAAAGAGAGCAACAGACAAGGAGAGAAGGACAAGACCACCAAGGTAGAGTCAAGAGGACATGATGCTTTTTGAAGGCAGGGACCATGTCTTAATCATATACCAACTCCACAGCTTCCAGCCCAGGGTCTTTGCACATAGGCGCTCACCACCCGCTTATTGAATGAACCGGTATGAAGGGGAATTCACAGAATAGGGAACACACTGTTGTCTGATCCTGGGATGGCTTCGTGGAGGAATGGGGACTTGGTTGTACTTCCTGTGTCCTTCTACTAATACTTCCCCTCCTAAGCTTTATAACTGTGGGTGGGTCCGCTTTAAAAAGTGATACCTTCTCCAAGTGAGATGCACCCCTCGAATTTGGGGCAAGATTAGGAAGTGCTACTTTAAGGTAACAAGAGGTCAAATCAATAAATGGCATTGTTAGTTGTGGAAATCCTTGTTGAAGTAACCCAACCTAACCATTTGCAAATGAGTACTGAAGGCATTAAGGGGACCCCTAGTGCTGAACAGAAGAAAGATTCATTTGATGTAAACCCTGAGAAGGAATTTATCTGCTGAGATGGACTCCCCATGGTCAATCGAGGGCCCAAAATTTTTAAATAATAGGAGCCTAGTAGCCATTTGCTGACGGGGGCTCCTGCAGTCTTCTGTATACCAGGAAGAACCTCAGCCTGAACTCGCTCTACTTCCCGCTGTCTGGGGAAACCCTGGTTTCAGCTTTCTATCAGCAGACTGAGACCTGCCCTGTCCAATCAGAACTGCACAATTTTGATACCTCATTTACAGAAAATGGACCTAATTGAGAATTTAGGTGGCAACTTTCGCTATTGTTTCGGTGGAACACAATTTGGGTTGTTACCTGAGTCTGTGTCTTCAGGGCTGCAGCTCCTTTTTGCTCAAATAAATACCCTTTATTAAAATTAATTTTGGTTTACACTAGGAGCTCATCAGGAGTCGGTCAGACTAATATATTTAGTATTAGAAAGCCCTGAAAAATGGTGATCCTGTAAGAGCGAATGCCCAATGCAAACAGAAGAGTCTGGGGACTTGTTGGACAAAGGCTATAAAGATGAATGGGAAATGCAGAAAAGATAGAAAATAAGACTTGAACTGCATAGACCACATTTTTCTTTATATTCAGTGATTAACTCTGGTTCCAGAGTAAGGCTCTTGGATTATAAATGAGGAAATGGGTCCTAGATTCATAGTGGTTTACTCAAAATGCCTCAGGGCCTGAATTAGTGATGCATTTACTCTTGGAGGCCCAGCCTGAACCAAAGCTTTGAAGATCCCAGGTGGTCGCTGAAGTGCAAGTGAAGACTGGGTGTGGCATAGAGAGCATCCAAGGGCTCTGCAAAGGATGCCTGTGCAGGGTACCTGCTCGGAAGGGGGCCGCAGGGCAGGAGGAGGAGACCCAGGGTTCCCAAAGGGTTTGAGGGGGAGAAGGGAGGGGTTTTTGTTGTTCTTTTTTTTTTTTTAATGAAATAAATATTTCCTGAGGTCTTCCCATTTGTTCTGGAAAACCAAGCAATGAGTTTAAAAACCTTTATCACCCCACCTCTACCCCGTTTTTCCTGGGCATAATATACTAAAACTAATCGTCACTGGGTCCATTAGAGGTGTTAAAACGGTAAATCTACATACACTTGAGATTCCCCTGCAATGACTGTTCCTTTACCCCCCAAATAGGGGGAAGCTCCCAAAGTTTCAAAATGAGCATTTCCCTCATTAGCTCCCTGGCCTAATTAATTCCCTGGTGTGGGACGCTGGGGTCCCTAAGCCCCAGCACCCTGGAGAGGGTTAGGGGCCCGAGCCGGGCCCATTGGGCTGCGCCTGCGCGTGGCCGCGCCCGCCAGTGCCAGGCCTGAGGGTCGCCCTCGCCCGACGGCAGCCTGGCTGGCGGGGCCCGCGGCGCGTCCGCCCCTCCGCATCTACTCCGCAGCCCAGGCGAGGGTGGGTGGCCGGGCGCCCCCGGGCGGCTCCCGCGGCCGCCGTGGCGGAAGGCCGCGGGCCGCGGGCGTGCGGTCCTTCGGGCTGCAGGGGGCGCTGTGCGCGCCCTTGGGCCGGGCCGCGAGCGCAGCTCTTGTTTAAAGGGCCGGTGGGGCACGTGGCTCGGACGCAGCTCGCGGCCGCCGGGCAGGAACTCCGAGGCTGGGCGGCTCCGCTCCGCCGCCACCGCCGCCGTCGCCAGCGCGCCGCACCAACCCCGACAGGCCGGCCCGAGCTGAACAGCCGGACGCGGGCAGCCATGGCCGAGGCGGCGCCAGCCCGGGTAAGCGCCCTG